TCGCAAACTACGTGTAATACGTCGGTCAACTTGATAATAACTTGCGACTTCGAGTTTCAGATCACCAAATTTATTCCGCGGTGATCGAACGTCCGATAACGCGACTTCCGTTCCACCGGGAAAATTCAAAGTCCCACGGAACTTTCCACTCTCCTCGCATTCAGTCTTCCGCGTTCTTTCTGCTCGACGACGACGGGAAAGATAAGACGAACGGACAAACAATACGGGAAGCTAAACGTGCTAATTACGCGTCTAGTTGGACGCTAAGGGGTTAATTGTTTAAAATTCCCCGACGCAACGTCAAACACGACTGATGGGAATCAATACCGTATCATTAACGTTGCTCCCAATTATTCGTTGAACAATGCAAAATCAGATTATTTGCATCGCGACTGATGGGATGTACACCGACGAATGATCTTGTATATAGCGTTGATAATGCGCGGTGGCTCGCGCAAGTAGATGAACACTTACAGACACTTGTTACGCGTTGTGTTACGAAATATTGTGAAATTTCATTAATCCTGTAACGAGACCCGACTATCGCGAATTATATTACCAAAGTTTGAAACATGTCTGAAAATCTATCCCCGTAGAAACTAAAGAGATGCATTTCTCTGTAGGTATCTATCAAAGATATTTTTTATTAGGTTAAGTAACAGTCGATTATCCATTACGCGAATCGTCGATATTTCTCCGACGTCTTCAGACTTGATCAGCTATGATAAAACTAAAATATCAGTATGGACACTTGCCTTTAATTATATTCGCACGTGTAGCAAAGAATTGTTTCCTTCATCGGCAAATGTTTTAATTCGTATTCCTAGTCTATGTACCTCTGTACCCAGGCTAGCGAAAATATTTGCTGATAAAAGGGGGTCGCGAAATTTGAGAAGTCCTGGTATAGATGATAATCGAGACCAGTCGCGTTTCGATGAAACTTATGCAAAGTGTACGGATAAAAGTTTGTGGCGGCGAATGACCAAACACACACACACACACACACACACAC